GATGGTGCACTGTCCTCCACAGAAACCTGGCTTCCAAGAAGTCTGCTTCTGTCACTTCCTCCCACATGGAGAATTAATTCAACCTGTATGCCCTTTTCTCCAGAGGACAGAAATACAAGTGTGATTTTGAGGCGTAGCCAATACTATCAAAAGTAAGCTAATTAATCAGAATTCGATATGGCAGTGATGGAAAGTGATTTCCCAAAGAAAGCCACGCCAAGATGTGTCCACGCCTCCTGGAACAGGCTAGTGTGGGTGGAGTCCTGTGCTGCCAGGTATATACCTTGGGTTAGGGTACTCACTAGTCTGGAGGAGGATCCTGGTAAGACACTCTCTCAGAAGAACAGGACCTGCACTCTGCCTGCTTCACTGGTGAGCACTGCTTGCCTCTCCACACCAGCTGTAAGTAAAGAAAGACTAGAGCAGGGGTTCTCAACCTTCCGAATGCTGTGACCCTTTAAATACAGACCCTCATGTTATGGCGACCCCTACCATAGAATTATGTTGCTGCTTTGTAACTGTAATTTTGCTATTGTTGTGAATAGCAGTAACATAAATGTCTGATATGCAGGCTATCTGATAGAGGCTGGAATGCACAGGTTGAGAACTGCTGGTCTATAGCCTTGACTTTACTGAATTCTTCAATTTAAATACTGCATAGAAGTTATGCTATCAGGGCTGAAGAGATGACTTAATTGCTATATGCTGGACTCACAGTCAAAAATACAAGAAAATATGCTACTAAAATTTGCAAGATGTGTGGGATCGTTAGCTCTTTAAAAAGACTAGGACAAATTTCAAAGCATCTTGACTAATACAAAAAATGTCATTTGCTTTGTTGTTTGTTTAATTTTTTAGACTTATTTTGTTTTATGTATGAATGTTTTGTCTTTGCCCAGGGAAGTCAGAAAAGGGCATGGTGCCGCTTCTCATGGCTGCTAGAAATTGAAATGAGGGCGGTGGTGGCGCACGCCTTTAATCCCAGCACTCGGGAGGCAGAGGCAGGCGGATCTCTGTGAGTTCGAGACCAGCCTGGTCTACAAGAGCTAGTTCCAGGACAGGCTCCAAAACCACAGAGAAACCCTGTCTCGAAAAACGAAAAAAAAAAAAGAAATTGAAATGAAACTGTAAAATCTGATTCCTAGAATATGCCAGACATACAATAAGGCACTGTTTTATCATTAATATTGAAAAAGAAAAGTTTTGGCTTTAAAAGAGCAAAGACTTCAACAATACTGGCAAGCAGCTTGTGTCCTGGAACATAGACACTGTGAAGAATAACATTCACAGCAGTTAGCAGCCACTTGGAGGATCCGTGCCTGTAGACAGATGGCAGACCAAAGGATCCCTCTGTGCTCTTGGATGGACAGGAACTGCAATAGTTTCTCAAGACCCATCATCTTAAGGAGTCTTGAAATAACAAAGGCAGAAGCAGTGGCAGCCATCCAGAGCCCATCATCTCCCCAATCAAAGCCTTCAAATTCAGCAAGACAGGGAGCTGGTTACAAGTTACACCATCCCTGTGGAGATGCACCAACTCCTTTTGTTCCTACTGAAAGTCTGTCTTCAGAAGTTACAAATTCTGTCCCTTAGGTCAACATCCAAATCCAAATCCTGATTCTGGAAAATTAGTCCATGCCTCTGAGGAGCCTGTCTCCAACCTGCCAGGCATGTCTGCACTTATCCTTCCATTTTGTTTCCCCATCTTTTGCCTGTATTGGTCCTTGAATGCTGGAAGTAGAGCTAGGAAGTGTTAAGAGAAAGAAGACCTTTTGTAGGGTCTAGTTGGATGAGTGTAAATTTGTCCCTCATCAAAGAAACTTCTCTTTGAAACAGAGAACATCAGAGAAATCTACAATGATCAAAACTCAGAGTATTGGAGCCCCAGTCCCAGCTGATATATTTATGAAACAACTCCAGCACCTAAGACTCAGTGTTCATTGTGGAAGAGGGGGCAGAAAGATTGTGAGTCATTTATTATGAATCCGTGTCTCCTAGAAATGTCGGAGAAATGTCCACTCATGGAGTCTCAGCAGTATGACTACCTAAACATGACCAAAACTAGAGAGACACCAGTCGACATACTAGCGTATAAGGGGGAAAACTCACGAGTCTCCAAGTCTAGACAAAAAACTAAGTCAGCTAAGGGATGGTGAGAGAAGGAAAAATAATCTTCCCTGGGGAAGAGGCCTCAAATTGGTTATCCAAACCGATCATCATCCCTGAAAACATATGCACACACATAACATTATACAGACTGAGCAGGTTACGTGTCTGCACTTAAGAATATATACACACACATATATATGTAACAACAATTAAAGAAAAAGAGGCCATGAATTTGAAAGAGAGCAGAGTGGGAGCAGAAGGGAAAGTTTGGTGGGGGAGAGGGGGAGATGTTGTAATTAAAATCTCAAGAAATTATGTTAATAAAAGAGTGTGCTAAAGAAAATATCATTATATTCTAATTACAAAGAATAGCAATTCAGTACAAAAACATAGAAAACAGAAAAGCAGGAAATAAAAATGGGGAGAAAAGCAGTTAGGATCAGATTCAATCGTCTTGTCATTGCCAACAGCTGGTGTGTCCCACCTTCTCGATTGTAGGCATGTAGCAGTAAGTTATGTTCGGGATTTTCATCTAATTCTTTTTAGTTAACTGGTTTGCTGACTTTTTCATTCATTTCCATTTCATCAATTTCTGCCCTGATTTTAATTATTAATTTTCCCATTTTGTTTTTTTTTTCTGTTTTTTGAAGTCTTTTGACAGCAACATTAAGTTATTGGCTTTAGATCTCTCAAGTTTTTTCATGTAGACCTTCAACGCTATACTATTCCACTGTATTCATATAGAATGCAAGAAGTTATTTCAATTTTCCTGTATTTGCTGAGTGTTGATTTTTTGTCAAAGTATATGGTCAGTATTGGAGAAAGTTCTTTGTCTTGCTGAGGAGAAAGTATATTTTTAATGTTCAGGTGGATAATCTGCGGTTTTAAGTACCTTTGTGCTATGATTTCATTCAGTTCCAAGGTTTCTCTGTTTAGTTTGTGTCTGGACAACCCATTAACCTGTGAGAATGGAGTACTAACACCACCCAATATCACTGTGTCAGGGTTAATCTGTGGATTCAGATCTAATCAACAGTATTTGTTTTATTTAATTGGGTGTGCCTGTGTTGTTACATATATGATAAGAATTTTAATATTTCCAAGGGTTTTTGGAGAGCCCCCTGTCTGTCAGAAGTGTGCCGAATATTTAAGGCCTTGCCGTCCTCTTCCTGTCCTGGTTTCTAGCGGTCTGTTTCCCCTGAGGCACACTGTAACATTTCTGTCTTCTCATTTCCTGGCATCTGACTGGATGTGTGGTAACTGAGGCAAGCAGGGCTATTGGGAGTCTTAGTGGTGCTCCGGGGCATCATTGTGATGAGGACAGAAGGATTTGGAAGCAATACTCACAAATAAACATCCCAGGAGAGTAGAAACAAACTATGGATTTATCTCATTTACAGTCACCTTCAATAAAACCTGTTCAACTTAAGAAATGACGCTTTTCTGTGGAGGAAAGCGTTTAAGGCTCCACTTCCACTTTGGGTGTGAAAATCCTTCCATGTCGTGTAGTATATCTCCACACAGGCACACGTGGAAACAGGGACTTCTGCTACAGGGTGACTGTGACTTGCAAGTCAACAAAGGTAACCTCCTTCAGAGGAGAGGTGGTAGAAGGCAACTGAGTCATGAGGTCTTACCACGTACAGGATCAAAGGAGATGAAGTAAGCTTTAGCTGAGCGGCTAAAGCAAGTTTGGAAGTTGCCGGAAGAAATCAATACAGGGTCAGTTTGATTTCTAAGGTAGCAAAGGACACCAAGGAATATAATTCGCTTCCAAACAAGTATATCAATCATGGGATAAGACAAGTATAAGTTAACACACACTCTAGTATTAGACTTTTGTCCCATCTCTCCAGCATGTGGGTGTTGATGAATATGCTCTGGGAAGAAAGGGAAAGAACCAGCATTTATAACAACATAGTGTGCTAGGTGGATGTGTTCATCACCTTGTTTTTATCTAAGAGTATTGATGGGAGGGAGTTAGCATGTCCCACATTTTATAGATGCCAAAAGCGAATCTCAAAGAAGGTTTGAGATTCAATCTCAGCTTGATGTCTGAGACCTTGCAGCCAGCTTTCTAGTTTCCTCATTACTGAACTCAAGTCTATTTATTTATCAGTGGAACAGGAGCTAGGGAACTAAGGACTAGCTCTCGTGGAAGGAAAAAGGTTTCTTCAGCAAGCCAGCAAGACTATGACTGGTCTTCTGAAAGTCCTTTTTCACTCACATATGTTTTAAGCTTCTTTTCACTACAGACAAGGGGAGGATGGAAGTTAGTTAAACCTGGTGGCTAATAACTCATTGGTTTGGCACATCTTAGCATCCTCAGTCTTGAAAGGTGGAGTGGGGGGTATCAGCCTCATGCTGCTAATTTGAATAACTAATGAGCACTAACTCAGCCAGTCATGGGTTGTTTCTGAGCGATGGGCAGAACATGGAGGCTTTGGGGCTCCTTCTTTTCAACCATAAGTATGGTTACACTCTAGTCTTTTTTAGACTCACTGTCAAACTGGGGGTGTGGAGAAACCCAAGAAGCATGAGCATGGGGCTCTGTTCCAAAGCCAGGAGCCCGCTCACAGTGGGGCACTAGGTCGCCACAGAGAGGGAGGAGCAGGGTAGTTGCTCTAAGCATTTATCTAAATAGCCTAGAGTCTGCTGGTAAGCAAGGTAGTGGAGATTTGTACTTGAGCAGTCACTATACAATGAGAGTTACTTCCTCTTTGGGCAGATGCCAAGGTTTGTTTCTTACAGTCTTGACTCTTCTAGTTAAGGCTTTAGCTAACCGCAATGACAGCAAAGCTTTCTGGATTGCTTACTGCTGAAGAGCAGGTACTTTTGACACAGTAGAATTTGAGCCTCTGTGCTTGCCGTACTCCAGAATTGCTTTCCTGCTTCCTCTCAATGTACTTTTGTACTCACTGGACTCCGGGGCAGTCCAGCCTTGGGATTACTGACAGCTCGAGCTTGAAGGTAAGAACACAGTTTACCTTAAATGTCTGACCTAAGTTATTGGTGCATGCTCTCAGTTTTCAGGCATGCATGCTGATGTAGAAGTAGGTTAACCCAAGCCTGAAAGATCCTAAGTCCTAAGAAACCTGACAAAAATTATAAAAGGCATAAGAAACCAACACCAGCTGTGCTCGAATGCAAAATCCATGCACTCTCCTTCCCATGATACCATCTCCCTTATGCACCTTGATCTTCCCAGCCGCCACCCCCTACCCCGATCCTGACAGCCTCTCCCCTTTCCAGCCAAATGGACTTTTCTGGCTATTTCTGTTTCTTCTCCCCACAGAGCCTTCCTTTTGTCCCAGCCTTTGGCACCACTCAAGCTGGGTCTATAAAAGGGACTTGACCAGATAGATCCCCATCTCCAGCTCGTTACTTACATAAACGAGCAGCCATAGCACCATGGCCACGGGCCTGTAAAGTTTACAAGCAGTGGAAGATCCACTGAGGGCAAGGTGGAGGACTTCTGGGAGTCTGAGGCCTGTCTGGAGGACAGCATGAGACCCTGTCTTAGAAAACGAAGCAAAAAAAAAAAAAAAAAAAAAAAAAGGCTAACTGAATGGAAAAGAGCAGTAATTTCTGTTCACGGAGATTGTTTCACAGAGGAGGCCACACTGACCCAGCCTGGCAGGTTGAAAAAGTGGCTGCCTGGGAAAGTTTGTCTGTCTGCCCAATTCTAAAAATATCAGGGGCCATAGCTCATGCAAACTATAAGAAGAGTCCAAAGGGAGGGTGACAAGGTCTCGAAATTTCTTTTTTTTTTTGGGGGTTTTTTTTTTTCGAGACAAGGTTTCTCTGTGGTTTTGGAGCCTGTCCTGGAACTAGCTCTGTAGACCAGGCTGGTCTCGAACTCACAGAGATCCGCCTGCCTCTGCCTCCCAAGTGTTGGGATTACAGGCGTGCGCCACCACCGCCCAGAAAGGTCTCGAAATTTCTATGGGGATTAACAGCATTGTGTCCTCTCCAGCACCACCCTCTCTCCCCACCCCTGCTGCACCTCCTTCTTCCAAGTTTCCACCAGGTTCTACTCTGTGGGTCCAACACAGCAGGTGGGGACACAATGCACCAAAACATCAAGTACTTTTAATCCTCCACCGGTCTTGGCAGCAGTCTCAGCTTCTGATGGCTGTCTTTCTCCCACAGCCCTGCACGCTGTGGCCATCAGACCACCTGTGTGCCTCTCGCCGTCCCGTGAGGTTCTCAGGAGTAGAAAATTCCAGCATTAGATTTACCTAAGCTGCCAGACCCAGACCCGGGAGAGAGTCAGTTGTTCCCCTGTAATCACTGTTGCTGCCCAGCAGCAGGAGAGAAGTTTGAATTACACACCAATTACAAGTCTGGAAACTACACAAGACAAAGGACAAAATAGATTTGCTTATTAAAGCATCTGGAGGTCGAAGAGACAGAAGGGAAAAGGTGGTAGCCAGGGTCCGGGGATTTAGCGTTAAGGCGCCCCCTAGTTTCCATCTAGGAAAGTGAAAAGTTGTCTGGAGACGGAGGGTGATGATGGACATGCAATGGTGGGGATATCACTAAAGCCACAGAGCTGTGCACTTGGAGCTAAGAGTCCTTTGCGTGCAGTGTATGCTCTGTCACAGCATTTTAAAAATTCCATTCTGTTCTTTTCTCACAGGCCCTGGACCCTCCACTATGGCCTTGACCCCAGAATTGAGCAAACAAGCAAAATGGAAAGAGATAGCAGGGATCCCCCTGGCAGCTGCGACTGTGGACAACTGGAACCAGATTCAGGCCTTCAAGGCCAAGCCAGATGACCTCCTCATTTGTACTTATCCTAAATCAGGTAACTCAGGGTGACAGCTTCAGTCTCACTCTCTGAGCCATCTGAACTCCCTGCAATGGCAAACCTGTCCCCTCTTGTCCTGTGGGAAAGTCCATCTCAGATGCCTGTGCCTCTGGGTTTTCTGAAGCTCACTCTCCTCTGCCATTCACTGTTCTGAGAAGAGGTGAGCGTTGTCTCTGCTGTTCTACTCTCTGTGGAGACCCAAAGTCTTCCTGTCAGAGCTAACAGGATCCACCTGGCCCCACGCCCCTTCTTCAGGATGCTTGGAGAAAGAATGATGGGTTTAGGACCTTTACACACCCCTGTCTCCTCAGGGACAACATGGATTCAAGAGATCGTGGACATGATTGAACAGAACGGGGATGTAGAGAAGTGCCAGCGAGACATCATTCAACATCGGCACCCTTTTATTGAGTGGGCACGGCCACCCCAGCCATCAGGTGAGAGCCCCTGACTCCCTAGGTGTTCCCCCCCCATCTTGTCGCTTTCCTTGCCTTGTCTCACAATCGCTCCTCTTCCTCTTTTTCCTCCTCCTCTTCCTCATCCCCCCCCCCCTCTTTATATGAGAGAGGATCTCTAAACATAGTCCTGACTATCCTGGAACTCACTATATAGACCAGGCTAGCCTCGAACTCACAGAGCTCTGCTTGCAACTTTCTCCAGAGCATGGGGTTAAAGGCACACATCCTCATGCCCAGATCCATCTCTTTCCTTGTCTTTATTCCCACCGGTGGGAGTCAGCAAGGAAGAAAGATGTATGTAAAGGTGAAGTTCTGCCTTATTTTCCTATCACACTCTTGCTCTGATCTTGTACAACTGGAGACAACAGGAAGGTGCAGACACCCAACTCCTCTATGGAAGGAAACCCCATTCGGGAGAGTCTACAAACACCCAACTCCTCCATGGAAGGAAACCCCATTCGGGAGAGTCTACAAACACCCAACTCCTCCATGGAAGGAAGCCCCATTCGAGAGTCTGCATTTCATTTTCCCTCACCTCAGTTTAACTCAGTGGTTTCGCAGAGCCAGTCAGTACAAGGGTTGTGTATAGAAGTGCAAAAATCATAAACCATGTGTCAGCAAGCCTGTTTTTGTTTCACAGATGAAAGGTCACAGCACGGTTTGACTCTGGCTGGCAGGCGAATGAGAAGGACCTGCTCTCTGGTCCTGACTGGCTCTGCCTCAGTAGGACACACTTGTCTGGTCTCAGCTTCTGGCTCATTGCCCTCAAAGTGACAGACCAAACCCCTTGGGATTCCCATAAAATGCTCTCAGGTTTGGGGCTTAAGAGAACATAAAGAAGAGTTTCATTTGAGATGAAAGGCTTGTCAAAAGAATTTTTAATGCCGTGAGCTTAGGGGCAGACAGCGGCATGGAAGGTCTCTGATAAGAATCTAGCTGATGTGACAGGATGAGGGGAGGGGTCCCTTCTTATACTGCATGGGGGACATGGAAGGTTTCCTGTAGTCAGGCTGTCTCAGGTCCTTAGATAGCAGGGGGAGCAGGACTCCAGGGTAGGAATGTGCAGCTCTCGTCATGTGTGTGGGTACATGTGCTTGAGGCTGTGTGCCCTGCACAGATGAGTGGTCCACACTGGGAGTGGCTCTCTGATATCCTATGGTTGGACATTCTCCTGGATTTTGGGCACCCAGGGAATCTGTTATTCTGTGGGCTTAGAGATCCACATGTGAGTTCCTGCTGGGGGCTCACAGTGACCTTTATGAGAAAAAGCCAGATTCAGGTGGAAATGGCCCGAGGACCAGTCTGGTTTGGATTTTCTTAGTATGGACACAGTTATCTAAGACTCCACCTTCTCTTCTATAAACTGACAAAGTAAATTCATTCAAACCTCATATCCAGCTCTCAAATTAGGTAAGTCTACAAACACAAAAACCATACCAGTAATCCCTCTAAGGGGTCCCCCCAAAATACAAAAAGTAAGAAGATTCATGTGTGGATGGTGGGTAAGGTGGGCATCACCTGGAGGGGAAGTTCCCATGTGCCAACCATACTGTTCAATCATCTCCTGAAATCTGTTCAAGGTGTGGATAAAGCCAATGAGATGCCATCCCCAAGGATACTAAAGACCCATCTTTCCACTCAGCTGCTGCCACCGTCTTTCTGGAAAAGTAACTGTAAGGTAAAACAGCATCAATTCCCTGGAGTACTGGGGCAGGAAGCCTAGAGAACTAGGCATGCAGACGCTGGGTGAGAATACCTTTCTCTGTACTATCTTTCCACTACCTCTGAGTGCTAACACACAGCAGGAAAGTTAAACACGAAGAGAGATTCAGCAGAGTGTTTCCCTGGATAGTTTCAAACACGATGAAGACAGAGGCCAGACTGAGTTGTTAGAGATATTCTATTCTTCAGTGAAGCAGACTCGGGTAGGGATGGGGAACGTGAACCACAGCCTGGAGGAGGTATCATAGAATGGAGCAGAGACAAGATAGAACAGAAAAAGTGAAAGGATTGTTCAGAACGGTAAATCAAAGTAGAGCCACAGAGTGAATGCTTGTCTGCAGCTGCAGAAGCCCCCATGCCTATTTTACCTTTTCCAGGGCTGCGTCGTGTACCCTAGTGTCTAGTCTAGTGTGTTCCTGCCACATGGAGAATGCTGGACCAGGCTGGGCATGAACAAGGATAGAGTAACCTATAGTGGGTAGAGCTGAGGTCTCACAATAAGCTAATATTTGCTGAGAAGAATACAATTTTCATAGATTGGGATAAAGGAAAGGAGGACAAAAAGTGTCTAGAGAGATAGCTCAGTGGTTAAGAGCACTGGCTCTTCTTGTAGAGGAGCCTGGTCCACTTCCCAGACCCAATGACAGCTCACATCAGTATGAACCTTTGGTTCTCAGAGATTCCGTGCCCTCTTCTGGTTTCTGGGGTACTGCAGGCACATTGTGCACTTGCATGCATGTAGGGAAAACACCCATACATAAAAACTAACTTAAAATTAAGTGTTAGTTACTAAGGACTAACAAACTTCTAGATGACAGAAGTATAGTTGGGATTTCCATGAACAAAGGTCTTTTCTCATGACAGTAAAGATGGAGAAGGGGTGCAAATTCTATTTCTGGCATTACTGAACTGGAAATCATGAAAACTCTTTAGAATGCCCCCTTAAGTTGTCCAGCTGAAACCAAACAAGGTGAAAAAGAAGTCTCTGAGTTACAGAAAAATAGATAGTAAATAAAATTATTTTATTTTATAAAAAGCAAAAAAAAAAAAGCTTCTCTTCCACAATGGGCTAAAGAAGGTAACATTTTTAGGAAATAATTCCCCTTCTAGATGTTCTCAAGAACACAAGAATTTTACTCAATTTTGCTGTGCCTTTTCCTCCCTGTCACAGAGTTAGTGAACCAGTCTACCCCTGTATAAGGGGTCTTGGAGAATACTGAGACAGAAAAACAGCCTGAGTATGGGACTGTGCCAGGATATTTGATGCCCTGGGTGATTCAGCAACATGAACTTTGGTATTTCCATGGAGACAGGCACAGAGCCTAAGCACAAGAGAGAGAAGAAGGAGCAGAGAAAGCAGGGGTAGCAAAGGTGAACAGGAGGAACTGTGCTCTGGGATCCGGAGAATGCTCTACAATAGCTTTGTCTCCAGTTTTGAATGAGTGACTTTGTTAAATATACAGCAAGCCAAAAAAAAATGAATAAGAATAAACAGTAAGCAGCGTGCAGACAGGAGAGAGAAACAGAGAGAGAAGATAGGTAGATAGATGATAGATAGATAGATAGATAGATAGATAGATACATACATACATACATAGATACATAGATGATAGATAGATAGATAGATAGATAGATATGGATGGATAGATAGATAGATAGATAGATATGGATGGATAGATAGATAGATAGATATGGATGGATAGATAGATAGATATGGATGGATAGATAGATAGATAGATAGATACATACATACATACATACATAGATACATAGATGATAGATAGATAGATAGATAGATAGATATGGATGGATAGATACATACATACATACATACATACATAGATACATAGATGATAGATAGATAGATATGGATGGATAGATAGATAGATAGATATGGATGGATAGATAGATAGATAGATAGATAGATAGATAGAACTTTCTCCCTATGGCTGAGCTTTCCCAGGTCTGAACTTCTTGCTTCTCTTCCCCAGTAGACTAAACAAGGTAGCATCTGTAGGAAATAGCTCCCCTTCTAGACGTTCTCAAGAACACAGGCACTTTTGCTCTGCCCTTCCCTCCCTGTCACAGAGCAAGGGGACCAGTCTACCCCAAGATACGGGGTCTCAGAGAATACTTAGATAAACATGCTTGGGTGTGAAATGGGGGTGGAACAACCCACTTCCAGGGCCAGCTTCTCAATGAGTTCAAACAGCACACGACAATTTATCAATATAATTATATCATGGGCAGAAAAGGAGACCACGGTTCCTCTCCCAAATTCCTTTCCCTGCCCTGAACAAGACACTGCAAACTCACAACTCAGCATAAGGTGACCCCCACCCCCCACCACCTGAGTCACCAGTCACCTCACTTGGGCCTCCAGATTCTGACTGTACTCACCAGCCCACATTTCAGCACACAAAGGATAGGGCCATCGTAGGGGTGTCTGCTAGTGCAACAGCTGAGCGAGCCCCGAGAACTTCTGACACATCCGTTACATGTAGAAAAGAGAATGTTAAAGTTGTACAAAAAAAGAACAATTGTATCAAAATGACATGAAGAAATAAGAGGCAATTGTAATCAGAATCATCAAATAAATATGGTGTTTTGTAATTGAACATATATAATATGTCACACACATATATGTGTATATATATATATATACATATATATATATAATCACTTAAAATTAAAAATCAAAACTAGCCTAACTCTCAGATCTGAATAGGAAAAAAAGTATGAATTTAGGATGGGATGAGAGCCGAGGAAAGGCGAGAGTGATGCGGTGTGGCTGGAAGTCACACACATGAAAAGGAAAGAAGACACAAAATGCGAGGCAGTGTGAACGTGAAAGACACCTGGGGTTTAAAGCTTAAGAATTCAAGCACAAAAAGCGTCAAACTTTTGAAAACATTTTCCATCGGAGCATGGCAGCATGGTGACCTGGAGGAACCGTGTGTTTGAACTCTGAGGTGGTGACGAGGTCTCTCAGCGGGGTTCCTCAGCCTAGCCCTTATTCAAACAACTTGGTATACAAAAACACACAGATGCAAAAATGATGACCGCAGAGGAATGCGGGTGCTCCCAGAAAATGGGCCACATGGTGCTGTTCCATGATGCAAACACCAGGTGGAGCTACTGCTCATCCAGAAACCAAGCTGAGGTTTCTGGAAGGCTCACTGGCACACAGGTGACAGTGGGATAACAGGCTCGAGTTTCTAGAGGAAGAGTTTGCTCCTCATAACAAAAGGAACATCCAGACTTGGGCTAACTATTAATGAGTTAATAGGGCCTGGCTTGCGGCAGCATAAACGGCAAGGACGCTCCTCCAGGTTGTGCAGCCAACGCGGAAGAGCGGCACGTTCCTCCCGAGGACTCGGCCAGAGCGAGAACTCAAAGCGTCACATATTTATGCCGCTCTAACCACCTCTCTTCCTCTCCAAAGTTCCTTTACGTGGCTCGAAATGCCAAAGACTGCATGGTTTCCTACTACCACTTCTACAGGATGAGCCAGGTGCTCCCAGATCCAGGCACCTGGGACGAGTATTTTGAAACCTTCATCAGTGGGAAAGGTAAATAGAAACGCTCCTGTATTCTTCCTTCAGTAGAGCTGAGTGGAGATAGCCACGCATGACACTTGAGTCCCCAGGATGTCATGCACCTCCTTAGACAAGTGCCACCACAGACCGGGACCAGGTAGAGGGAGCTGGTTTCTTTCACAGTGAAGAAACCCATCCCTCAGCAAGCAGCCCCGTTCTACTTCAAAAGCCTTTATTCCAGGTTCCTGGCCTGTAGAGTTCCCCTCCTCCTGGGTGTCCCTCTCATCATATGAGGTGCAGGTAATTGTGCATAAGTAACATGAAGGACTTTAATTTGCCCATTAAGGCAAAAAACCTAGGACTGACCCAAAGCACGTTACGTCAGATTAAAGCGGCTCAGTGACCTGAGACTGTATCAGACTCAAGATTTTTCCTTCACCATGTCTCTAGCCTCTGATGCTCTTTAAGTAGAAGAAAAAAGGAGAAAAAAAAAAAAAAACCCTGACTCTCAGAAGGTTTGTGTTCACAAAAGCTGTTCTTGTTTGTTACAGTAAACTGGGGATCCTGGTTTGACCATGTAAGAGGATGGTGGGAAATTCGAGATAGATACAAGATTCTCTTCCTCTTCTATGAAGATATGAAGAGGGTAAGTAAATTACGGCTGCAGGATCAGGGGCAGAGGAGCTGCTTGAGGAATATGCTTCTCACAGGGATGTCTGGGGAAATGGGATCATGTTAAACTCTATTCCAGTCCAACGCAATGCTACCCTCCCCCGACAGGACCCAAAGCGTGAAATCCAGAAAGTTATGCAGTTCATGGGAAAGAACTTGGATGAAGAGGTGCTGGAGAAAATCGTCCAGGAGACATCATTTGAGAAAATGAAAGAGAACCCTATGACAAATCGTTCGACGGTTCCCAAATCTATCCTGGACCAGTCCATTTCCCCTTTCATGAGAAAAGGTTTGCGGGGAATTCTTCCTTTCTAATTCTGAGACGGTGCACCCCAAATACACGTATTATGCTCCTAAGGAGGCTAGGGACGCGTTTCTGTTACACAGAGATTCTACAAACTAAGTCTTACAGAGAACTAAGGCCAGCACTACTCTGGTGCACACCTCACTGGGAGCCATGCCTGAGGGTAGACTCATCAGACCTGGGGTCTGGAAACCGGGAGTTAGCCCTCTGCTCTAAAGCTCTGCTTGTATGGAGAGCGACTGTCCGCATGCGTGTGTCCTGTGTTCCACCCCTGTGTCTCTCTTCTACTCCATAGCCACTGCTTCGACTTCTGTGCTTGACTTCATCTGGACCACAACCCCAAGCTGTTCAGGCTCATGACTTTCAACATATACTGTGTGAACCATCTCTTACCGCCTCCTTCTTCCTGAGGGAGGAATTCTGTTGGGCCCAGATGATCCAGTTTTAAGAGGAGAGTGTTACTGTTTTCTTAAAAATTAGTACATTAAATAACTTTAGAAAACAGTACTGATTTGACCATCTCACACAGATCCTCACTAAAATCCATTTCACAGGAAACTAGAAGCAACACCAAGCCCCTCCTTCCTTCTCATAGCAAGTGCATTTCCTTCCACCACAGCACAACCAGGACCTGGGGTTCACGTGTTGCTCTACAACATCTTCCCTTTTTCTTTCCATGCTTGAGTTCATTTATTTCATGGTTCTTCTGGTCTACAAAGTCTCCCAGGCCCCTGAAATAAAGCAGCTCCACCTCCTTTCTCCCTTAATAATGGTGAGAATTTGGTGAGTAGCCTTTCCTCAGGCCCACCCACAGCCACCATATCTGCACACTCTGTGTTTGCTTCTTTCCTTGCTTGCCTTGGCCATAGGCACAAATATAGATGCCTTGATAGAAAATTGTTCACTCAAACATAAAATGTAGCTACACTATATATTTTTGCTTACGGGAATATGGAGCATCTCTGCAGGTCAAGGAACACAGATCTCAGCTATCGCTGCTTGTAGAGGTCACATGGGACATGCTGTCAATCACCCAGTTATGTCTCTAATTATAGAAACAATAGATATGGTGTTTCAATATTTACGGTTGATGCTATAATAAACACTTTTGTTCATCAAACTGAATAATTTCCCACAAGAATCACAGGGTTCCAAAGAGTTTTTTTCCTATCTAAAATCATTTCAATGAATGCTTGTTGAAAAATAGTATCTCATTGTAATTATCACCAAATTCTTTTTCATTGAGATATAATCTACATAAAAATAACTCACAGAAATTAACTGTACAGTTCAACCATTTTTATTAAAAAAAAAAAGTAAACAACTAAGCAACCAACATCTGAATCAAGGCAGCAAAGAATTCCATCACCTTGGGACATTTTCTTGTCTTTTCCAGTCAGTTTCCTATAGAGAACAATGTCCTTGTCCCTCACTATTGGTTGATTTTGCTTGTTATTTGAAATAAGGAAAACATACACATGAGATATCACCGTATATATTTTCTTATGTCTAGGATCTTTTGACAGCATAGTGACAGCAGAAGACCACGGGTATGGTTATATGTCTGCCATTTATTCGTTTTGTAACTGTGATTATGTCTATATGTATACCACAGAGAGCCAGGAGCCCAGGTCACCCTTGAATTATTGGTCCACTGAGTTAGAAGCTGGTGCCCTGCACAGGGACCACTAGGGCTGCCTCTCAGACAAGAGGGCTAAGAAAATGAGGAACTGCCACGCCAGCTCCAAAGTGGGTACTCCACACTCTACTCAGGGGCACGGAGTCTGTCCATCAGAGGCTGATGTTCCTGTCTGGGCTCATCTTTTAGGAACTGTGGGGGATTGGAAGAACCACTTCACTGTGGCCCAGAATGAGAAGTTTGATGAAATCTACAGACAGAAGATGAAGGGAACGTCTATAAACTTCTGCATGGAACTCTGATCAAGATGTAGAGATAGATGACAAGAACGTGGAAGCTGCTGCTCAGGCAGAAGTTCTGAAAGCACACTGTGAAACACTCAAGACTGTGGCTCAGTCTCTATGAATTTTAACACCACATTATAATTTCATAAACGTGGATCATGGCTAATGTGTATTCTTTCCACTATTCATATGAATTAGTAAGTCAGCTTAATAATATAAGGAAAACATAAATAATACTTGCATACTACAAAATTCAAGTTTCCATTCTTTTAGAACAGTGATTTTCAACTTGCAGGTCATGACCCCTTTGGATTTATAGTTCAGATATCCTGCATGTCAGATGTTTGTATTACAATTCATAACAGCAAAAATGCATTTATGATGTGGCAACAAAATAATTTTGTGTTTGAGGGCCACAACAACACAACAAGGAAATATATCAAAGGATGTAGCATTAGGAAGGTTGAGAACCACTGTACTAGAAGGTATGGCCTGACTCTGAAGTATTCTACCCTAAGTACTAGCAAAGAAATAATAGATTTTATCTCTATGAATGTACATGAAATTCCTAAAGTCGTTTCTGCTCAGTCAGGGTTTTGCCTGGCTGAAATGGAAAGAATCATTGTGTGGATGATGTGTTGAAAGCAAGCCTTGGGAACACGTTCAACCTGGTACGAGGAAAATGAGGGAAAGACTCCAAGGAGATGCCAGAAATCCCAACCTTAATAAAGAGAATCCTGAATCTGTGCCGTTAAAGAAAGCAGAGAGAAAGCATTATATTTTGATGAAAGTAGAAGGAAGGCGTGGTGCTCAGTTTAAAGCCAACTGGGTTTTGATCTACAGTCATGCTATCTGAGGAGCAAACTGGAACCAAACCAAGTGTGTCTTTCATCTAGCTTCCATATTTGCCTATTTTGACTGAAGCTGTCTGTATTTGCTGGCCAGCAAGCTTATCTCTATCTCCTGCTACATTCCATGTCGAAAAGAAACAGATCATTTTCTGGCTAGGTACCACTCATCAAACTTGATCAGATCAGCAATTTAAACACACCTGGAGCCAAACTCCAGCTTGCTTCACTGTTCCTCCACCACCCCCTTAAGTCTAAGTCCATCTCCCCTCCTCCTCCTTTCCTCCTTCCCTTCCTTTCCCCTCCTCTTCCTTTATCAATCCTCTGCTGCTCATCCACCTTTCTCTCCCTACCCAGGTGCTCACCAAATCACCACGGTGCTCATCACTGGGTCCGTGCTAGGTATATCTTAGACAGCAATGTTACCAGGGAACAGTTTTCATTAGGAGACCTAGAGGAAACAGCTTCCTGGTGACACCCCACGTTCAGCCATGAACAATTAAAGAAGCTTTTCCCCACACAGTAACATGTCTCCTTCATGTCTTTTTTAACGTGTGTATTTCCTGAACATCTGATATGAAGCCAGCCACGGGATACTTAGTATATGTTTCACATTTCTTCATCTAGAACAACTTTTTAATGATTTTTCATCCTATGGCACCTGTCACGTTTGGTTTCCTTTTCTACTTTATGGCTGGAGAACACTTTGTATGTGTATTTACAAGTCGACAGGCATTTGTGTTGCTTGCAGTTTGGGGTTCTCATCCACCATTCCTCTGTTGATGTGTGACGGTCCATTATTTCCATATCCATCACGGAATTCAGACTGTTTCAAATATCAGGTAATTTCTAACACTCCCCCACCGTGTGTGTGTGTGTGTATGTGCGTGCACGCGCGTGCGTGCATGTGTGTATGTATCCATGTGTACTTTTATAGACTCTAGAGGAGGACACTGGTGGTACTCTGTGCCATCACTTTCCAGTCTATTCCCTTGAGACAGGGTTCACTGATTATGGTGGTAAGCCAATGGACAGCAAGTCCCAGGTGTCTTCTTCTCTGTACCCCACAGACTAAGGTTATAGGCTTCTAGATTATTCTATATATTCTGGGAATGGGAACTCAGGGCCTAATGCTTGAACAGCAAGTGCCTTACCCATCAAGCCTTCTCCCTAGCTCTAACTGATACAAAACTTTCTGCACATCTACTGGAAATCTAATGTGTTTCTGTTATATAGTTATTCCCTTGAAAGTCGAAATGCAATTGGTGTACCAGTTTTATCTGAAGAGGGTCTCATTTACCACTATCTTGAAATGCCATTGGCCATCTATATAAGCCTTAACATTTAAAGTTTTGTATAATAACCACACATGTTAAAGTCTTCAGGAATGTGCAGCATATCAGTAGAATTATTACCAAAACTACCATGGAGAAAACACTAGCATGCACACAGTTCTGAAAGGATGATCATGCAGGATGTGTTTTCTCTAGGACAACTAGTTCATTGAAAGAACTGACAGGGTTCCGGAAGTAGTTTGAAATATTCAAGACTCATCAGTGCATCAAGTAACCCCCAAATATCACTGAGAATTCTTTCAACCTGAGATGTAACATTATTCTCTGTCTGGAATGTCAACCTAATCTAAGACAATCAAAGACTCTTAGCAGAATAAATGTAAGGCACTTGCCATCAAAGCTAACAATTCCCAGAACTGAGTCCAATTCCCAGATCCCCCACAGAAGGAGAGAACAAAATACAGCAGAGTTTTTTTTGACTTCTATGTGTGTGCTTTGGCATGAGTGCACACACACACACACACACACACACACACACATCCACAAAATGTAAATTTAAAATTTACCCAAAGTACAAAAATGAATCCCAAATTAACATAATAACATAAATCTAATAGTTTTTTCTAACACTAAATGGAAATGAAAGGAATGAAAATAAAAGGAAGAAAAAGTTAAACACAAAAGTAGATAGTTATGGTTATGCTAAAAATAAAGTAGTTATAAGTATTGTAACTGTATTCTTGCTTGATACCTGTTTTACTATCTGTAAATTTACCATGTTAAAGTTTTAAAGCCTTCCTTTTTACTTAGACAGAAAAGCAGAGGTGATGTGGGATTTTCCTCTGTATGCTGTCAATGTGTTTTGCTATTGAATAAAGCTGCTTTGGTCCTGTAGCAGAGAAGAATAGAGACAGCTGAAATAACTTGAAGCTAGAAGAAAGAGGCATAGTCAGAAAGGTGTAATGTATCCAGTGCAAGAGACAGAAGCTGGAAGGAAATATGCCCGTAGGCCACAACAATGTGGTGATACACGGATTAATAGATATGTGTGAATTAAGACATGAGTTAGTCAGGAATATGCCTAAACTATTGGCCTAGTGGTGTTGTAATTAATATAGTTTCTGTGTGATTATTTTGGGTCTGGGTGGCTAGAAATGAAAGAGCAGCCTCTGCCTACATCTTCCCTTTTATGAACTACTGGAATATTTGTGGATTATTACAGTTATTCTTTTTATATTTCTGAATTCATCAGTGAATTTTTCTCATAATACAAGACAATGTTAACACATTGCTTCTTTGAGATTGTGTTGCCTAGTTTTTTTTTTTTATTTATTATGCATACAATATTCTGTCTGTGTGCATGTCTGCAGGCCAGAAGAGGGCACCAGACCTCTTTACAGATGGTTGTGAGCCACCATGTGGTTGCTGGGAATTGAACTCAGGACCTTTGGAAGAACAGGCAATGCTCTTAACCACTGAGCCATCTCTCCAGCCCTGTGTTGCCTAGTTTTATTTGGACTTTTAAGTTTTCCATTGATTCTTGTATCTCTCCTTGTTATATATGAGTTTGTTTCTCTAGGAGGATGCAAGGAAAGATGGGGGATAACAGAGGGTCTGTGATGCTAGGAGAGATCTTCCATCCAGGCCTGAGGACTCTAGTAATGATAAACACCAAGTGGGAATCTGAAGCAGGTTCATTCCCATCAGACAAAGCTTGTCTCCACGAACTTCAAAGTTTCTCTGGAATCACGAGGTCCAGCACCACCAAAAAGCAGGCTTCATTAATATCAGGCCTGTGCTACAATGACAGAAGAAGGGATCTGGAATTGAGGCTACTTGCAGGGTCACCGAATTTCTGGTGTGGATAAGTAGAAGAGACACATTCAGTGTATGACTGTGTGACAGCAAAGAATCTGCCTTGACTTCGGGACAACTTAGGGGCGGGAGGGACGGATAGGAACCCTCTTTGATAGACCCATGCTCATTGTATACATTTCTGTTGTGATAAAATTTCATAAACATGGAATCTTAAAAAAGAACATATCTGGCTTATTTATGGAGGGATAAGAGCCCATGGGGGTGGAAGAGGCAAGAAGTTAGCTGGAAGATTGAAGACAAAAGCAGTAGATTGAGTGTCACACCCCAACCTCAAGCAGAAATTAGGGAGAACAGAGAATAGCTTGCTCATCTCAAGACACACTCGGGGACAGCCTTCTGCCACTTAGGCTCTACAGTAAAAAGTTCCCCAAACTGTACTATCAATTACACTTGAGGGTCCATGTGTTCAAATGACTATTCATATGAGATATTTCTTTTCATTTTTTATTTAAAAGCTATTTTTTCCATTTTACATACAAACCACAGTTCACCATTCCTCTCTTGCCACTTTCTCCCAGGTTCCACACACCCCTCTCCAATTCACTCCTCAAAGAGAAAGGCCTCCCATGTAGAGTCTGGCATTTCAAGACCCTCCCTCTGATTCAGGGTTGAGCAAAGCATCTTACCATAGGGAATGGGCTCCAAAATACCAGTTTATGTACTTGGAATAAAGTCTGGTCCCACTTCCAATGGCCCAACAAGCTCTCCAGGTCACACAAGTGTCCCCCATAATCAGAAAGCCTGGTTTGGGTCTATGCAGGATCCACAGCTATCAGTCCAGAGTCAGTGAGTTCCCACTAGCTCAGGTGAACTGTATGTGGGTCTATGCAGGATCCACAGCTATCAGTCCAGAGTCAGTGAGTTCCCACTAGCTCAGGTCAACTGTATGTGGGCTTAGCCATCGTACTCCTAACCCCTTTGCTCATACAATCCCTCTTCCCTCTCTTCAACAGGACTGTGAGAGCTCAACCCAGTCTTACAGTGTGAAGATTTTCAGAGTAGAAATTGGTCAAAATTCAATCCTTGATCTTTTCTTTTGT